CTGAAGGAATTCATGTCCACAAAACCAGCCCTTCAGAGAGTTCTGGAAGCAATACAAAGAGCTGAAGAAAGGAATGACTATACCCAAGAAGTTACAAAAAGAAACTCAACAAAGTTATAACTGTGGAAAAGTAAAGCTACATCATGAATGTAAATAGAAATAAAGATGACAGGATTCAATACTCATTTTTCATTAATAACTTTAAATATTAATGGACTGAACTCCCCAGTCAAAAGATACAGACTATATGAATGGATTAAGAAACAAAACCCATCTTTTTTGTTGTCTGCAAGAAACTCATCTCACTTTCAAGGACAGGCACTATCTTAAGGTAAAAGGATGAGAAAAAATACACCAAGGAAATGGTACTAAGAAAAAAGCAGACATTGCAATTCTAATATCTGACAAAATAGACTTTAAACTAAAACCAACTACAGGACTTTAAGACGCAGATTAATCCCAACTTGTTAATGGTAGGGGACTTTAGTACACCACTGTCTCCATAGATAGGTCAACAGAGCAGAGAGTTAACAGAGAGATATCTGAATTAAACAAAACCATATATCAAATGAACTTAACAGACATCTACTGAGTATTCCACCCAAGCACCAAAGGACATACTTTCTACTCAGCACCCCGTGGAACTTTCTCCAAAATCAACTGTATACTGGGGCACAAAACAAACCTCAACAAATAGAAAAAGATTGAAATAATTCCATGCATTCCATCAGACCACAATGCAATAAAGCTTACAGTCAACACCTGAAGAAGCCTTAGAGAAGAAGCCCTAATCACCACATGAACACATGGAGATTAAACAACATACTCCTAAATGGATGTGTCAAATGAGAAATTATGAAAGAAATAAAAGTATTCCTGGAACTAAATGAAAAGGACAATACAACATGATAAAACTACTGGGACATGCTGAAAGTGGTCCTAAGAGGGAAGTTTATAGCTCTAAGTGCTACATCAAAATATTGGAAAGAACAAAACTAAGTGATTTAACATTGCAACTCAACACACTTGAAAAGCAACAGCAAACGAAACCCAAACCCTGCAGACAAGAAGAAATAACAAAAATCAGGGCAGAAATCAATGAAATCAAAACAAAGAAAACAATCTGAAGAATGAATCCAAGAGCTGGTTTTTTGAAAAGATAAACCAGATAGATGACCCTTAGCCCAGTTAACCAAAACAAAGGGAAATTAACCAAAAGAAAGAAAGAGCACCTCCAAATCAACAAAATCAGAGATGAAAGAGGAAACATCACAACACATTTTTAATGGAATACATTAAAAACCTATATGCTACTAAATTTGAAAATCTAAAAGAAATAGAAATATCTAATGGCATGGGAAACACCAAAACTAAAGCAAGAAGAGATTAACAGCTTAAACAGACCCATAACACAAAAAACTGAAACAGTAATACAAAACCTCCCAACTAAAAAAAGCCCAGGACCAGATGGATTTACAGCAGAATTCTATCAGACATTTAAAGAAGATTTACATCCAATACTACTTAATTTATTCAAAAAGATAGAAATGGAGGGAGAACTTCCAAATTCCTTCTATGAAGCCAGCATACTCTGATACCAATGCCAGGTAAAGAGACAACTAAAAAAGAAAACTATAGACCCATATCCTTAATGAACATAGATGCAAAAATTATCAACAAGATACTTGCAAACCGCATACAGACGCACTTCAAAAAGATCATCCACCATGATCAAGTCAGCTTTATCCCAGAGATGGGATGGGATGG